TTTGGCAGAACTGGGGGTTGAACTCAGGCCCTTGGCTTGCCAGGCAAGCGCTTATTCTACTGAGCTATCTCCCCAGCCCCAAGACTGGAGAAATTGTTTTTAAAAAATGACTTGCAGGGGCTAGGGAGATAGAGGGCTTGCCTGGCAAGTTCAAGGACCCAGGTTCCATCCCCAGTGCCTTTTGCTGTGCGGTGGCTCCGTCACAACCTGTAATCCCTGAGCTTCAGAGGCTGAGACAGGAGGATCACTGTGAGTCTGAGCTGCATAACTAGACCCTGTATGTAGCATAGAAATAAAAGATTTTTAAAAATGATTTGCATTTGTTTCTCTTTGTGTTTAAACAAATGCACATGTGTCACCCATCTAAATAAGAGGATCTTTAAAAGGTTAATTGTTCTCAGCTGGGCTCTGCTGGGCGGCCATTGCAGGGGCGAGGCCTCTGTCCTGTTTTCTTCCCTTTCCCCAGCCTGCAGCTGTGGCACACATATGTGTGGCCTGAGTTGCTGAGATGGCTCTGCTGAGGATTGGACTTTGGGTTTTAGAGCACTGACAGGTAGTCTGTCTACCTCCAGTAAAGCTTGGTTTTGATGTTTATTTAGTGGACTTTGCTCCATGGCTAGATTTTCACCCATTGAATTTGGCGTATAATTTTAAAAGTGAATCCCTCTTGTTTTGTGTGGTGCACAGGTAAGGCTCACGAGCTCTGTGCTCTTTGTGGAGGCCTTGCTCCCCTACCCCCTTCCCTTCTTTGGTGGGAAACTCTGAGACCTTGTGTGAGTGGTGATTTTGCATGTCACTGTACAACTACAACCTTAGTTTGTAGGAGGCCAGCTAAATGTCCTCAGTCATTTTATTTTATTTTTTTTTGCAGAACCCGGGATTGAACTCAGACCCTTGCGTTTGCCAGGCAAGCGCTTATTCTACTGAGCCATCTCCCCGGCCCCTCAGTCATTTTAAGGGGCTCGAATTTAAAAAAAAAATTTTTTTTTTTTGCAGTGACTGACACTTCATTTGAAGCATTTTTGACAAACTCAACACATGGCGTACAGAGGCGGCCCTCCTTCAATGTCTTGTACACTTTGTCGCTGACGTGGATAGCTGTCCTATCCAAGAGGGCATCACAGCTTTTGAGGTGCACCGGGCTTGGCTCTCCAGGAGTTCATTTGTGCGTCCATTGTTGGGCCCAGATGGCATAGACCTGCATTCCGGGAGTACAGATACAAACACATTTTATTCATGGTTGAAGCAAACCTGCCAACTTTGTATTTTTATTTGTTTATTTTTTCTTTAACCTCTACCAACCCCCAGTTCCTTTCCTGCTGGGCCTACATTCCTAGGTCTTTGTCTCTGGCTGGTATTTTAGAAATTTTGGGAGAGGAAGGCAGTGGGTGGGACGTTGTGGAAGCTGGGGGCAGGGAAGAGGGTGGTCACTTGTGGGGTCAGAGGTCAGGCTTGCTGCATTTAGCTAGGGCAGCCAGATTGTCGCCAGGCCTGAGGGGGCGTGTCCACCCATCTGCCCCAAATGGCTTGGGAATTCCTGCCGCCAGAGGACCTCTTCCCATCCTTTCCCCCCAAACCCATCCCCCTTTCGGAAGACAACAGTATCTGGCTGCTGCCTCATTTCGGTGTGAGTCCCTCTGTACAGTCCAGGTTATTCCTTTAAAATAACCTTCCTGGTGTTTCAAAGATGCTTGTACCCTTGCACATGCTTCCCTGTTGATTGTGTTCCAGTGACCCTAAGAGTGTGGTTTTTCAGTCTTAGAAATTGCAGGCAGAAGGGAAGGGAGGGGAGGTAGAAATCTTCCCAGGGTCTTACTCTTTACAAAGCTAGAAGACTTAGCAAAAATAGATCTCATTTTATGGTTTTTGGACTATGCACTTTTAAAAAGATCAGAGCTTATTAATTATAAGCACCGAGGGCCTGTTCTTTCACTCATTTACAGTTTTTTATTATCAGTCACTGGTCATCCTCACCCCTCCTGGACAACCTGAAGCCGCAGAATGTTTCTTTCTGCAGCTAAAATGTGTTTTGGATACTTAAGAGCTGTACAGCTCCAGCATAGAATAGTGCCAGGCTGGATGGTATGCATGGCCTGCTTTGACCCATTTTAGGGGTGTCTGGATTCTCTAGGCTGGGCATTGCCCCCTTTCCTGCCACTGTGTGCTGAACAGGATTCATTTTCTGGCCAGTGTGCGTGCAGAGTCTTGCCATTCATGGGGGCCCTTTGTTACTCAGCACTATAGAAACTCTGTTTTAAGGTTAACAGACAAAATTTCAGAATATTTCTTGCATTCTCACAACCCAGCTTCCTGGCTCAGCTGTAGTTGCTTAGAAGTGCTTCCGGGTCCTGCATTCAGGGTGAGAGAGTCTTGGGATTTCACAATGGATAGGGTCTTGAGGTATTCCTAGTCAGAGCCCATTCATTTGTCTCTGAGATGAGACTGTAGTCCCAATGGGCCAAAGGAAGTCACTGGACAGTCCCACAACCTGGTGGTGCTGTGCTCTGGGTCACCAGCATGAAGCTCTTCTCAGCTGTTTGGCTGCAGTTTTGTAAGCCATCTAGAAAGCAGGGGGCCTAGGCTAGGCTCACAGCTGACCTGAGATGATGTAAATAAAGATAATGCTTTCTCATGTTATTTAGCGATTTGGTAGAAAGGAGGACCACAGAGTGCTTAGAGGCCCATTTTATTCTAATTTAAAAGGAAGCTTATGGTGGAAGGTTTTCACACTTCACATTAGCATTGGAGAGATCCCTTTATTCCCGTGACAAATGGCGGGAGCAAAGGGAAGGAATGCGGCTGAGGTTGTTGAAACCGGGAGAATTGCTTTAGTACCATGTCATAAAAAGAAACTGTCCAAGAATTTTCTCTGAATTTCTCCACTTTGGCATCTTTTGGTTATCATTTAGACTTTGCTCAAGAACTTTTAAACGATTAGGAAGAGGAGATCATCTTCTCTCCAGTGGACCTGCTTATAAAAGCAGTTGACCTTGAAGAAAGCAAATTCTCCCCATCTGGTTTCAACCAGGTGGAAAAGTTACTACAGTGATCAAAATTAGTAAAGTATATTGAGGATTTGGCCTTACTGAGGATTTAGTGGTAAAATTATTGCCAAGGATGCCTGTGCCTCTAATATGGAGTCTTTAAAGCCTGTTATGTCAGATCTATTTCTTTTATAATGTCCTAGCCAGGCACAGTGGCTCACCCAGAAATCTCAACTAGTCAGGAGGCTGAGGAGAAGGATCACAAGTTCGAGGTCAGGCTTGGGCTACTTGGTGAGATGCTATTTCTAAAAGGGATGGGGATGTATTTCAGAGTATGGGTTATGTGACGTGTGCAAAGCATCTGGTTCACTGTTTAGTACAGCAAAGGAAATCAAAATAAAGAACACATAAACCTCACCATATCCGGAATCTTCCCTTTTTATTCTGAATGCAAGAGTGTCTAGAGCAGCTGCCTAACCCCTGCTGCATTACACATTTCCCTGTTAACCCTGAGTGGAGTTGTTTGTGAGCATGTTCACCAGCGGTCATATTTCTTGCTTAGATTGTAAAGTGAAAAGATTATAGAGATAATAAAGTGAAGGCTGGGGAGGTGGCTCAGTGGTTTGAGTGACTGACAAGCACAAGGACTGAGTTCAATCCCTGCTACCTCATGCTCTGCTGGCCCAGCCTGAAATGGCGTGGTGCCTGTGATCCCAGCACTGGGGAGTCTGAACTGTGTAGCGAGAGCCTGTAACAAATTAAAAAAAAAAAAAAAAGATTGTTTTTAAAAGATAATAAAAGTCATAGAGGAGAGAAACAGCAGCATTCTCACTCTGCCCTGGCCCCAGCTGCTTTGTGTGTTTTCTCCCCAATACTAGTTTCTGGCCCTGTGGACTACTACCTTCAGTCACCCTGCTCGCCTGCCCGCCTGCCCGCCCGCCTGCCACAGCTCTGCCCTGCTTCCTGGCCAGGATCACCTTGAAGCTGACATCCTGGACCCCCACTGTTACTACCTAGTAGGGTGTTTTGCACTCTAGATGAGGTAGTCACTAACGGGCATGTGTCTCTGAAGCCATCTCATGAGAAGGCTTAAATTTGCCTCCTGGCTGTGCCTGCCAGTTGCGTGGCCCTGAGCTTCTGTGTACCTCCTCCTCATCTGGAAATGTTAAGTGAGCTGGGGATGGAAAAGAATCCCCCCTCATCCCATTTCCCTGTCTGTTGTGAGCTAGTTTCTTTCCTCTCACACCCAGGTGTGTGAAACAGATTGAAAGTGATCTAACAAGCTGACATATAGAGTGGCGCTAAGTGTGCTGTTATTGAGAGATGTACAAGTAAACTTGACCAGTTTTGGTGCCAAGGAATGTTGCTTCCTGAGAGCACCTTGTTGCCAGCAGGTGCAGGTTATGCCAGCCTTCTTCTCTGCCTGCCAGCTTGTAGGGCCCCAGAGCATTGTCTTAACATCACAGGAAGCTGTTCTGTCGCTCTGGTAGCTTCCCTGGTTCAACTCTCTGGTATGCCTTGGCAGGCAAGAAGCGGGCTGACCTTACCACTAGCCATTCGCCTTCACTTTGCCTGTAGCTTGCTTGAGTACCTGGGAAAGCTTTGCACTGGTGTGCTGACTCCTGGGAAAAGCGTGTAATCTTTGCTCTTAACCTTACCCTATGCAAAGTAGGCAACTTTTGGTGTATTTCACTCAGATGGGACATAGTCTAAGATAGAATCCTATAATTTTTTCTGGATAATTAAACTGAGATATAGGAAAATCTCAGTCATGGTTCTCAGTGAAAAGAGTGGGATATGGCAGTCCCTTTGGTTTCCCTCCTTTAGTTTGTGATGCAGAGAATGAGAAGGAAGGACAAATGGATGTCGTAACTGTGTTTGCAGTCGCACGGCTGCCTGTCTCTAGCGGTGCTTGCTTGTTGGAAGAGGTTGTTTGAGGGTGCCTTGGTTGCTGCTGCTGCTCCTCACCAGTCTGCACCTCTCGTTCATGGCTGTGCCTCTCTGTTCTTCATGCAGGTGCTGCATCTGTACTGTGACACATGCTCTGTGCCCATCTGTCGCGAGTGCACCTTGGGTCGGCATGGGGGCCACAGCTTCATCTACCTCCAAGAGGCGCTGCAGGACTCCAGGGCACTCACCATCCAGCTGCTGGCGGACGCACAGCAGGGTCGTCAGGCCATCCAGGTCAGCCCTTGGCAGCCTTCACCGATGCCCCCCGGAACCTTTCCCTCTGCCTGTCTTGTGACAGTTGGGCAGGCTTCAGGCTTGAGGGTGGGGAAACTGGAGTAGTCTCCAGTCACCAAAAGGGAGCTCATGACATCAGCGCAGGCAGCAGTGATCATGAAAGGATTCCCAAGTGTCTTCAAAAGATAATAAGGACATGGTCCAAATTGCTAGTCACATGTCTCAGCACCTAGCCTAGGCTCATAAATTGCTTATATTTGAGCCCCTTCCTCCAAATCCAAGTGGATATTGGCATTTTTCAGTCAGGACCACAGAAAATCACATACTTAATGCTATTACAGATTATTTGTAGATGAGAAATAAGTGAACTCCAGAGAATTTTGTGTAAGATTTGGAGACTCCACTATACTTTGGGTTGTAAAATCCTCATAATTTACCCTTGTCTGTGGATTCCCATTGCTAGGGGCTAGTGGATTAGTAGTAGCATTCTCTTCCAGTTAGATAATAGTGTAACTAGATTGCTTGACACCTCAGCATAGACCACAGGGGTCATTCTAGTTGACTTTATACAAGTCCTAGACCACAGGGCACTAGTGTGCAGGAGGGCAGGTGACAGTGGTACTGGGTTGGGGTTGGAGGTACATCATGTTCAACATGGCCACAGCCACTGTAGTGCTGAGTGGGGGTCGCAGAAGGTGCTTGTGGCCAGGGATGTGGATCCCAGCACTCTGGAAGGCAGCAGGAGGAAGAAGGCAAGTTTAAGCCCCATGTGGGCAAATTGGTGACCTAATGCACCCCTCTGTGAAACCAAGAAATGAGAGTAGATGTAGCTCAGTGCAGAGGCCCTGGTTTTAGTCCCCAGTACTGCAGTACTCCTTCTCCCCATCTTGTCCTTGGTTTATTTGCTTTTTGTAGTATTACAGTATTCAGTGTGTTCTTCAGGAATTTTTAATTTTTACTTCAGTGCCAGTGATGTACCCAGCAGCACAAGTACCTGCCTGGCAAGCACAATGTCCTGAGTTTAATTTTCAGTAACAAAAAATTTATTTTTACTTGAACCCAGGGCATTGAGCAGATTAAGCATACACTATATCACTAAGCTATATACCTAGTGGCTATCTGCTTTCCTTCCTTCTTATATTTATTATTATTACTATTATTATTTTTCACTGTATTTAGTACGTGATCTACAGGGTCTCACTACACAGATCAGACTCGTAGTGATCCTCCCGTTTTCAGCCTCTCACAAGCTTTGACATTATAGATGTACCACCACGCCCAGTGTCAGTCGCCCTCTCAGCATGCCCCAGGGGTCAGGCCAACACCAGCATGGAAGGTGTGGAATCCAACCCCTGGACCCCTGCATCTTCCTAAGGAGGTGCTTTAATCTGCTGAGCTATCTGGCTGGTGCTGTGCCCCCCCCCCCAAAAAAAAAAATTTTTAAGATAGCCTTTCATTATGCAGCTCAGCTGGGTTTAACTCATTTTGTAGTCTGTACTGCAAACTTGCACCAGTCCTCCTGGTTAACCTTTTTAGTGCTGGGATTATGGGCGTGCACCACCATAGCTGGCCATCCTGGGGGATTTTTTAAGAAGGATTTTTTTGCGGGGGAGGTGGGGGGAAGGGGGCTGGCTCAGGCTACCCTAAGGGTGGGTCTGGTAAGGCATTGGGAGCTGGGGATCAAACTGCAGTCCCCTGTGCCTGACTGGGTTTGCCCCAGCAGGTGCTTAAACAACTGAGCTAGCCTGCAACCCCCCCCCCCCCCCCCCCCTTTTTTTTTTTTTTTTAAAGCTGCTTGTTTGTACTAGCAAATTTACAGATCCAGGAAACAATTATTTTGGAAACAAGGTTTATTTTGCTAATTGACTATAGAGTTAGGATGATATTAATCAAAATAAGATCTGATGCATTAGGGAAAAGTAATTAAATTAATTATAGTAAACATCAAGAGAAATGGGTAGTGGGAAAAGGCTAGTGTGTAAGAAAATTACAGGGGGCAAGGAAGATAGCTCAGTGGTCTAAGCCCATGCCTGGCAAGGGCAAGGACCCAGATTGAATCCCCAGTGCTGCGTGCTGACCTGTCCCCGCAACCTGTAGCACATGCCTGTAATCCCAGCGCTGGGGATGCTGAGACTGGGGGATCACTACGAGTTCAAGCTGTGTAACACAAGACCTTGTACTGAATGAAAAATTTAAAATATGGATGAGGTTGAAGTAGACAAAATATTTCTGATAATTTTCTTGTAAAGACCTGATAAGAAATGTGTTGAACTATGAGGTCTATTCTCTGCTACTAAAAGCTAATGGGTTAGAAAATCTCTTAATTCTAATCTTTCCTGTTAAAAAGAAAAAGTCTAGAGATGAAGTAGTGTTGAATGCTTTTTCATAAATCTTCATCCCTAAGTGGCCCAGAATAATGACCACTGGAGCTCTAGCTGTCTCATGTCTGGTTTCTTTCTCTCTCTTTCCTCCTCCTCAGTGCTCATTTCTCATCTAGGAGTCCTTTGTGTGCACGTGTACACAGTCACATACTCAGTGTTCACTTCTGTAGTCTTCCACATCTCCCCAGTCTTACTGAGAGGGAAAAAAACTAAACAAATAAAAAAACCCATGTTTGAAGAGTTTTTGTCACTTTTTTTGTGCCAGGGATTGAACTCGGGCGGGACCGTGTACTTGCCAGACAGGCATTTTTGCCCCTGAGTTACATCCGTAGCCTGTTGAAGAATTTTTAACAAACATGCCATGAGCAAATTAAAAATTTTCATGTGCTTTTTCCAGAGTTACTGTTTTGTTTTGTTTTTTCCTTTTTAGAATTCTTGATGGCAAGAAAGTGAGTAGTGTCAGGCCACCAAGTAGAGTAGCCATGGATTGGGCTTTAGGTATTGAGGGACATTTTCTCTTAGGCTGTTCTCCCTGCGTGGCAGGCGGCACTGCTGTAGTTACCTCACCTGGCTTCCATCTGTGGAGCACGCAGATGGAGCTCTCTCCTGACTGACCAGCAAGCTGTCCTCATGGCTGGTCCCTTCTTTCCGTAGGTGGGTAGGCTGGCTGGTGTTGTCCCATGGACCATAAATCCCAGGAAAAGGCAGGTGACAGTCTAATCTGGCTTCCAGGGTTCCCTCTCGTGGCATAGTCTTGGAGTTAGAGGAACTGGCCCCTTAAGAACTGCTAAGCTTAGTAGTTCCCTGAAAATTAAATGAATGAGCCAGAACATCTCTGAAAAGTTAAATTAAAAAAGGCCAAATCTGCTGTTCAACTTAAGCCCTTACAAACTTTATACCACCCTTAAAATGAATGTCAGTGACATTCTATTGTTTATTATTTCTTAGTATTACTTAAGGTTGTAAGCTTTGATTTCCATTTGCCAGCCTATAAAGTCGAACCCAGGGCCTGCTACACATGCCATGCAAAGCACCTGTACCTCAGCTACTCCTCAGCCCTCTATATTTAGAGGTAATAAGTATTCTGTTAAGGTGGAGAAGTTTTTGTCTTGATTTTGGGCCCTTTTGGGGACTTTTGTTTTTGATATTTTGAGACAGGGTCTTGCTGTGCAGTTCAGGGTGGCTTCGAACCTGTGGCAGTCCTCCTGCCTCAGCCTCCCAAGTGCTAGGATTACAGGTGTGCACCACAAGGCTCTGCCCTTTTAGATTGCTAATGACACCACTGTTTGTATTTCTTTTATTGTGTTGGAAGCAGGAGGTTTGATCGTTCATGTGACTGTCCTGTAACAATTTAATAGCCCCATTCTTCATGAGGCTGGTGCATTACCAACCTCAGCAGTGATGTTCTGTTTCATCAGACCGTTATCCTGTCTTAAGGTCTGAGAGATTAGTTTGTATGCTTGTCCAAAGCTTTAGATAAATCATTTTTGGATGTGCATGGTGTTATTTAAGGCTCAGTTTATATTGGATAGCTTTTGTTAAAAGTGGGTATTAAATTACATGTGTCAGTATACAGTTGACTATGAATCAAGAATCTACTGAGGTACTCACACCTTGTCATGGGATTTAGTTGTGGAAAGAGACCCAGATGTAGGTCTTCAATTCATTCTAGCTTGCTCTCTGAGGAGAATTTCACTGGGCTGAGGGACTTCTCTGAAGAAATCAGGGAAGACATCTGCATTGCATCTGTCAGTTTTTTAGGGCATTTAAGAAGTAACTGCTCATTTTTACTGACTTTTTTTCTTTTTAGTGGGAGTATTGCAGCTCCAACCCTTGAATGCTCTATCACTGACCTATATTCCCAGCCCTTTCCATTTTTTATTTTGAGACAGGTTGGCATTAAAGTTTCCGTTCCTTCTTCCTCAGTCTCTGGAGTAACTAGTAGTACAGCCACATGTCACCATGCCTCACTTTGTTTTTATTGCTTTTCAAAACCATTCCATTGCTTTTCCACTGTCTCTTTTATTGAAGGTGTAACATGTAAGTTAAGTATATAATTACAAGACTTTATAAGGTGCACTAATTCCCTGGAGACACTGGTACATGACACCAAGAGTAGATGCTTTATGCAAGAAAGCTTTGATTCTGTCATTAAATTTAAGATATTATTCATTGTTATCAATTTATGTTTATTTATTTTTTTTAATTTATTTTTAAAATTGTGTGTGTGTGTGTGTGTGTGTGTGTGTGTGTGTGTCCAGCTCAGCCCACCAGGGGCGGGGCTGGCTGGCATGTGGTGCTGGGGATTGAACCGTGGTCCCTGTGCTTTGCTAAGCTTGTTCTAAGTAGGTGCTTTAGACCACTGAGCCATCTCACCAGTCCTGTTACCAATTTATTAATCCAGTATCCAGTCTGAGTATGTGGATAATAATCTGTGTTCTCTATTACCTTGTAACCCGGTAAAGACCGGGTTACCGATTGACAAGCCACCACTGTTGTAGCAGATGTCACTAATTAGTATCTGCGTTCTTTCTCTTAACCCAAGTCTGGCCTGTGACTCTTTGATACTAAGTGGCCTCCCCACAATAGTTGGCAGGCATGCCCCGTTCAATTTCCAGCTGAGGCCCCACCTTCATATATCTGACTGGATCAGTTAATGCTTTTGTTTTGTTTTTTTGTTTTTTAAACAGAAACAGGGATTGAACTCAGGCCCTTGCACTTGCCAGCCAGGGAAGCGCTTATTCCACTGAGCCATCTCCCTGGCCCCTAGTTAATGTTTTAAAGAGTAGTATAATACTGTCCTGAGCACACACTCTTTGGCTGATCCATTCTACCTAAGACATATACTTTTTAAAAATGTACTCTGTTCTTTTTGCCCACTGTCAGTTTCCCTTAACCTATGTTCCTCACTCATTTCATGGTATTTCCTAAAGCAGGGCCTTAGAAATTGGGAGATAGTCCAACAATCCCTGGTCTGCATGTGTTAGTGTGTTTTCTGAAGACCCAGATGCTTCTACAGGTAGTGCTTTATGACTCTTAGCCAGATGAATGAATGATGGAGCCTCCTTGTATGCTTGGTGGTTACTCAGATTGACAATTACGATTTTGAATCCCTTGTATCTGTCTGAAAACTGAAAGAAACAGTCTTGCATAGTTCTTGCTATGAACACCAGAGCCTTCAGGGACCTGCCTGGAAATATAAAGGGCATAAGAGACAGTAGGGGTAGGGGTAAATAGGGTCACCAGTCTGTCCCTATACAGAGGGTGTGAGTGGTCATTGCTGTCTTTCAGCAGTACTTGCCCAGTGGGAATACCATTCTACTAGGTTATTGCCTGCCTGCCTGCCTGCCTGCCTGCCTTCCTTCCTTCCTTCCTTCCTTCCTTCCTTCCTTCCTTCCTTCCTTCCTTTTTTTCTTTCTGAAAAAATAGGTTGGGAAAGAACAGAAAATTGCAAAAGCAGTTTGCTATCTGCTTTTTATTGAGTGTTAAGGAATGTTACACTCATAGACTTGGTCAGATACTGAGTTGGTCATCCAGACCCAGAGGATTAGAGACCATAAGTAGGACTCCAGTTGTAAAACACAGAACAAGTCAGAACTATTGGAATGGAGGAGTACTCATTAAATGAGCCAGGTCAAATGTGACTCTGCTTACACGAAACATAACAGATATTCTCTGTCTGTCTGTTTTGTCTGTCTCTCGTACAGGGTCTCACTACAAAGATTGGACTCATAGTGGTCCTCCTATTTTCAGCCTCCCAAGTGCTGGTATTATAGGCATGCACCACCGTGCCCAGTCTCAATAGCTGTCTCAGTGTACCGTGGGGCCTGTCCCTGATCCCTGCCTTCCTAAGCAGGCACTTTAATCCACTGAGCTATCTCTTACAGATATCTTTAATTGTGGTGAATTAATTAATGGTTGCCACAAGAGATAGGGGAGCTGGATGGTGCCTATTTAATGGTCATGGATTCTCCTTTTGGGGTCATAGAAGTATTTTGGAATTAGTGATAATAGTTGCCTATCATTGTTGTGTGTTTTGTCACACCATTTAGATGACAGTTAAGTGTGTTGAGCAGAAGCAGCAGACATTCCTGAGTTCAAAAAATGTCTGACTCTTCCAGGCACTGTGGTTCTTCCCCTGCTGTGCCTTGTATTTTCCCTCACATGGAGGACTAGGGACACATCCACGGCCCTAAACTTAAGAGGAGCCTCAGTTATTTGCACCTTAGCTATCTGTTGTGGAGGGTGTGTCCAGTAGGTCCACCCACATCCCAGAGCATGCCTAGTTGTTCCAGGGCAGCCTGGATGGCTGGTCACCATCACCACTTCCTCCTTGCAGGTCAGGTTACATCCAAACACCCTGCATTTCCTGGGTGCTTCCAGCTGAATCACTTGCTCTAAAACCTGTTGTTCCATCGGCATTCAGACTAGAATCCCAGATTAAATGCCTCAGTGTCTCCAAGAAATCTTTGTGGCTTTTCAAGACATGTCATGTAATATTAATGAAAACACTGGCCTTCTGTATGGATTAATTTTTCATGAACAATAATATGGCTGATTAAACTGACTGATTTACTAGAGCTGTTGGTACGGGGCGTGAGTGTGGTGCTATGTACATTGCTGTTGGCCACAAGGGATGGGTCGTCGGGGTAGATCAGGTGATATTCCTGGTGTGTACTTGGTGTTCATTCGGGCTGGCCTAAGCTCAGTTACTGAGGACTCAGCAAGAACATGACAGAGTAGCTCTACCCTGTACCTGGATTTTTCTGAGGCAGGGAATAAAGCCAGAAAGTCTGGACAGTTGTTTGCCTAGAGTTGCATATTTTACATCCGATCCTCTTTGTAGTTTTCGGCAGTCACCCAGCTACACTGGTTTCACTGTGTCAGAGTAGCTCTTAATAGTCTGACATTCACTGTGTAGGTGCTATTTCTCATACAAAGAAACCTAGCCCTTGCCAGCAGCTCCTTCAGTTACATGTCAAACAGGTGCCAGTCTCTCCCTAAGTGCTTGCTTTCTTTCGAAGGAAGTGGATCAGGTGGTCTGGGGGTGACCTATTTGCAGGTCTCATAGAAGCTAATTTAAGTGCACAACAAATGAATGTCTTTCTAATGCCTTAAAGTTTGAGTTTTGATTTTTTTTTCTCTTCTCCCCACTCCACCCCCAGCTGAGCATTGAGCAGGCCCAGACGGTGGCAGAACAGGTAGAGATGAAGGCCAAGGTGGTACAGTCGGAGGTGAAAGCCGTCACAGCAAGGCATAAGAAAGCCCTGGAGGAGCGTGAGTGCGAGCTGCTGTGGAAGGTAACGGGGCACGTGTACACCAGCTGTCCAGGTCGTTTTCTGTGCAATGCAGCTGAACTCTCTTGGGATCCTAGTTTCAGACCCTAGACCCAAGTTTTTTGTTTTTTGTTTTTTTTAAATTTTTATTTAAATGTATTTAGTACAGGGCCTGCAGGGTCTCACTACACAGATCAGACGCCTAGTGATTCTCCTGTTTTCAGCCTCCCAAGAGCTGGGATTACAGACATGCGCCACCATGCCCAGTCCAATGGCCTCTGTCTCAGGGAGCCCCGGGGGTGGGGTCAGTGGCGGCACAGCACATGGAGGATTAAATCCCGGCCACTGCGCTCTGCCTAAGCAGGCACTTTAGTCCCCTGAGCTATCTGGCCGGCCCAAGTTCTAAGTTCAGAGTGATAGGAAATTTTCCAGAAAGATGCAGGGTCTGTGGAAGTTTGTGGTTATTCTCTGTGCAGTAAGACAAGAAGCCTGTTCAGAAGTGGTTGGGCATGCAAGACTGAGGCGCCTCCAGCTTCACATTGTGCCTACTCAAAAGGCAGCAGAGACAAGGGAAAACAATTAAAGCTGTTGTTAGGAAAGGCACACTGGTAGGAAACATCCTTATTTTTGGGTCCTGGCTGGTTGCACTTCCTGACTACTTGTGGAAAACCAGCTCGGGGCACTGTGTATGTGCCCTTTCTTCCTGTTGGAGCAGGAAGGAGTATTGAGCACACTGGTGTGCTGTTTAGATAACATCAGCTGGGAAGACCACTCACCCCGCAAAAGTCGGCATTTCAACTTCTCCTTTTTTGATTTTATATTCCCCTCAGGAAGGAGGAGATTAATGTCTCCTCGTAGGCCACTCTTCCAGAACAATGCCTTCACTGTAATTACATTGTCTGAACGCAGAAGACTGTGTAGGTGATTTTAAAGATTGTCCTTCTGCATTTGTGCATTTGTTTTCCTCTCAGTATTATATAATAGTGGATTGATATCTCAGTACCTGAAGATGACCTTCACCAGCCACTGTACCCCATATGCTCTGAAAAGTCACATTGCACTTTGCATTGCATTTTCCTTCCGTTCAGTTACCTGCAAAACTCCTTTCTTTCTGTCTCTTCTGATCTATTACAGGCTCCATATTAAGGGATATGGTTTATTTGCCTTTCAACAAAGAGTGGGCATGAGAGAGTGTATGCATGTGTTGGTGTGAGGTGTGTTCTCAGCATATGCTTTGAGTGCCTTTGTGGCATGACAGCGTTTTCAGACACTCAGATGTCCCCATGGGCCTGCCAGTCTCGTGCCACCCACGAATGTTAATTATAACTAGAGGGGCCTGCTTCTTGCAACCTGAGAGCTTTGTAGTGAACTCTGCCACAAACTCGCTCTTCTGCATTTCCTGATGAAAAAGGCCTTTGTGTGTGGGGGTTTCTGTGGCTCTCACCTTAGCTGCACTCCTCCTGTGAGGCTGACCCACTGTCTGTCTCAGGCTAAGGCGGTTCTCTTCAGGAAAAATGGAAATTAGGTCTGCAGTAGACAAGTTCGGATAAAAAGCCAAGCTCTTGTGAATATGAGAAACAATTTCTGCTTTCCTAAAAACTCAGTGTCAAGAGAGACTACTAAAATAAGCTAGTTTATCCTAGACATCCATATCCCTGTTGATTTTCTTTCCTTTTTGCTTTGGGTTCTTACTTTTTTTTTGGGGGGGGGTTCTTACTCATAACCTCTGACTAATGACAAATTTTCTTTGTCAGAAAATCATTTCTGCTTATGTCTGTCTGGATAGTTCTTTGTTAATTTCATTTTCTTAAATCTCTAGATTGAATCCTATAGGTACATGTATAATATATGCTTAAACCTTAATTCAGTAGACAACTTGGCTTTGCATATCAGGTCATACTTTTTTCTTCCTATGCTTTGTTAATTTTTAGTCCCCTACTTTATATAAACTTCATGGTTCAGAACCAAAGGTAAGTTAGACCAGAGGACAAAACTTCTCTTTCATCGAACCTTTATGGGCCTCTCTGCACACACATCTTGGTTCTATAGCAAACAAATGAAAAGGATGAATGGGTCAAAAAATCTCGTCAGCGCCCCTCAAGGGAAATTCAGATTGAAATCCAGCCTCAGAACAGTGGGCCCTTATTCCAACATAGACTCCATGGCTTTTAGATCAGCAGAGCACGCAGTACTTGGGGTCCTCCGCAGACAGCACACTTAGTTGGTAGCCTCGTTATCTCCACAAAGGGAATTATTTTAGAATTAGGGGACTTGGAAGTATTTACATTTTTTAAGAATGGAAAAAATCGTTCTATTTTATTGATCAGGAAACCCCCATCCACCACCCCTTTTTTTGGGCTGTGGGAGAACAAAGTACGTTTATGTCAGAAACATGAAATTATTTGTATAGGCAAGAATCTGTTAGGTCATTCATTATGAATTTTAGATGTAGATCACATTAGGGGTACAGGTACTTTCAGATTCCAAAGCTTTTTGTTATTATTATATCAGGAATCAAACTCTGGACCTCCCCCTTGCCAGGCAGGTGCTGTGCTGCTGAGCTACACCTCTCAGCCCCTAAAACTTGTCTTTAAAACAAGTTAATGCTGGGGTTGAAGCTTAGTGGTATAGTGCTTGCCCAGCACATGTGCGGCCCCTGGGTCTGGTCCCTAGTACCATGTGAAAACTAAAATGACAGAGGACAAGAGAAGCTGTGGGAGATTTTTGTTTTTTGGTTTTTTTAATATTTATTTATTTTTTTATTTTTTTAGTGTGTGTGTGTGTGTGTGTGTGTGTGTGGCCAGCTCAGCCCACCAAGGGGTGGGGCTGGCTGGCATGTGGTGCTGGGGGATTGAACCGTGGTCCCTGTGCTCTGCCAAGCTTGTTCTAAGTAGGTGCTTTAGACCACTGAGCCATCTCACCAGCCCCAGATTTTTGTGATCTTGAATTATTTCTCCCACCAAGTTCCATCACATCCTTCATGTAAAATCTTTCATTGTGAATATGCATGTGTATATGGGAAAGGCAAGGAGAAAAGAGGACTCGAGATCTCAGGCTGGACGTGGCAGCACACATCTAATCCCAGCACTCTGGAGACTGAGGTAGGAGGATCGTTTCAGGTTGGAGACCAGCATGGGCTACAGAGTGAGCTAAAAGCCAGCCAGAAGAACTATAGTGAGACCTTGTCTCAAAAAGACCCCTCCAAAAAAAAAAAAAAAATCCCATCTCCCCACTGTTCGGTGTCGTCATGGACACCATCTTTCCCTCCTGTTGGTTCTACCTCCAGTATCCTTTCTGCTACTCTCTTCTTTACCTACACAGCCTAGTTTCCATGTCCTCCATTCTTTTTGTTCTTTTCCTACACATTCTCTATAAAGCCAGTTTGACAACAAAAATCTACTCACAGGCCAGGAAGATGGCTCAGTGGAAGAAGCACTTCCCTGGCAAGCGCAAGGGCTGGAGTTCAATCCCCAGTTCTGCGCCCCCCCCAAATGTGTGTGTGTGTGTGTGTGTGTGTATATATATATATATATATATATATATATATATATATATATTTAATACAGGGTCTACATGACAGCACACTACACAGATTGGACTTATAGTGATCCTCCTGTTTTTAGCCTCGCAAGCATTGGGATTATAGGCGTGCACGACCACCACCCAGTCTCATTTGCAGTCTCAGCTCACACCAGGGACAGGGCCTGCACTGCAGGCCGGGGATCGAACCCCTGTCCCTGCGTCTGCCTAAGCAGGCGTGTTAATCTGCTGAGCTATCTGCCTGGCCCTCCTTGTCTCAGACTATAGAAAATTAGAATCACTAGCATGCAATGCCGGTCATGCCGTACTTAGTTTGCATGTGGTAGGCTCTGGCTTACACTTCCAGGACCACAAAAACAAAACGGAACTGCTCTCTTGAAATGCCCAACAAATCCCTGTGCCTTAGATTTGAACTTGTGAAGGATGTTCTACCACCTTCAGTCTAAAAGTCAGGCCTCCCTTGCTGATGTCTCTCATTATGTTTGTGCTCTTTGGTACCCAGTGATATCTTCAGTTCTTTATTTGTCTAATAACTTGTAAAATGTGAGGACAAACTATTTTCAGTTGGTCACTGCACTTCAAGAGCCTGGCACAAAGTAGGCTCTTTGTAAACATTTGTTAGATGACTTTTCTGGGGTTTTCATTTTTCTTGCTGCTTTCTGTTTTCTGTTTAATTTCTTTTTTCCCCCCGTTTAATTTCTAAGTTATGAATAATTGCAGTAATGATTCTTTATATCCTTTACCTAGATTCACTTATTATTTTACCCTATTTGCTTTATCCTCCTCCTCCTTCCTCTTCTTCGTCTTCTTTGCCTTCATCGTCATTGTCGTCGTCTTCATCTTCTTTGTCAGTACAGGATCTCACTATGCAGCTTGGACTCACAGTGATTCTCCTGTTTTCATCCTCCTCAGCGCTGGGATTACAGGCATGCACCACTACAGGCAGCCTTGGTGGCTGGCTCAGTGCGCCAGGGGCGGGGCTGGTGCAGCATGTGGTGTGGGGTATCGTCCCTACGCTTGCCTAAGCAGGTGCTTAGTCTCCTGAGCTATCTTGCTGGCCCTGTCGCTCTTATTATTGATACAGTTCTCCCTCAGTATTTGTGGGATTTATTATAAGGTCTCTCCCCAAGGATGCTTCATATAAAGTACCTGTTACAGTTGCATATAGCCTCTGCTTATCTTCCCGTGTACTTTAAATAATCTCTAGCTTACTTGTAATACCAAGTAGAACCTTTTCTTTTTGGAGGTTTTGGAAATTGAACCTAGGGTCTCAGCACTGAAGGTGTATCCATGACCAGTGATTCTAATTTTGATTCACAGTATTGCCAAGTGCCCAGGCTGGGTGTAGATTTGTGCTTCTCCTGCCTCAGCCCTCTAGACTTGGGGGGTTGGGGGAGTCTGAACATGTTTAGCACAGGCATAGGTTTTTCCCTGAAGTATTTTTGCTCTGCTGGTGAGTTTATGGATATGGTTCTTGCAGATACTGAGGCCTAAGTACTTAATGTGGTTTGATAATAAATTGGAATTTTGGAGACATAGCCTCTTTACCCCTAAAGATACCAATATTCATTTCCTATAAATAAGTGCACTGTCTTTCATGGTCATGATGAGGTAGTCAAAATCAAGTAGTTACTCTTAATATACTATTATTGCTCTTCTCTCCCCCCCCCCCCCATAATTTTATTGAGAAACAAATAGCAATGAGAAGAATTTTAAATAGTTGTTGGTTGTTTTTTTTTTTGGCAGAACTGGGGATTGAACTCAGACCCTTACACTTGCCAGGGGAGCGCTTATTCTACTGAGCCATCTTTCTCGTCCCTATTATCTCATACAGTACCAGTAACAGACATTATACAATATCAGTTCATAGTTAAGCTTCAGCAGTCTCAACAGTGTTTGAAAATTCTTTCTCAGTTCTCTGTATTGATAAATGCTGCTGGGCATGTGCTTTTATACTGTTATGCCCTCAGCCTCTTCCAACAGTGTTCTTAATAACTGTTGCCAGACCCATGTATACACTGTATTCCCAGGTTATTTATTGCATTTAGACTTAACTTTTTGTTATGTCATCTCCTGTAACCTGGAAGATCTCATCCTTTTTCACATAAGGTTTTGTTCTGTAGTACAGTCTGGCCTTAAACTTTATGGTAGGCCTGGTTGGCTTTGGCTTGTGTTCTCACAGCCTGGGCCTCCTCATTGCTACATAATGCCTGTCTTTTTGGAATGTTTTAAAAATTCTGCTGTTTTTAATAGTACAGGCCGCAGTTGTTGTCTCCTATGGATTATCTCACAATGCTTCTAAGGCTTTGTTGTATCTCTTTTTCTTCTAGGTAGAGAAGATCCGCCAGGTGAAAGCCAAGTCCCTGTATCTGCAGGTAGAGAAACTACGGCAAAACCTCAACAAGCTGGAAAGCACCATCAGTGCTGTTCAGCAAGTCCTGGAGGAGGGAAGGGCACTGGATGTTTTGCTTGCCCGAGACCGGATGCTGGCCCAGGTGCAGGAGCTGAAGACCGTGCGGAGCCTCCTGCAGCCCCAGGAAGATGATCGGGTTATGTTCACGCCTCCTGATCAGGGTCTGTACCTTGCCATCAAGTCCTTTGGCTTTGTTAGCAGCGGGGCCTTTGCACCTCTCACTAAGGCCACAGGTGATGGCCTCAAGCGGGCCCTCCAGGGTAAGGTGGCCTCATTCACTGTTATTGGCTATGACCATGATGGTGAGCCCCGCCTCTCAGGAGGTGACCTAATGTCAGCTGTGGTCCTGGGTCCTGATGGCAACCTGTTTGGGGCGGAGGTGAGTGATCAGCAGAATGGGACTTATGTGGTGAGCTACCGGCCCCAGCTTGAGGGTGAGCATCTCGTGTCCGTGACCATGTGCAACCAGCATATTGAGAACAGCCCCTTTAAGGTGGTGGTCAAGTCAGGCCGCAGCTATGTGGGCATTGGGCTCCCAGGCCTGTGCTTCGGCAGTGAGGGTGACAGCGACGGCAAGCTGTGCCGCCCTTGGGGTGTGAGTGTAGACAAGGAGGGCTACATTGTTGTCGCCGACCGCAGCAATAATCGCATCCAGGTGTTCAAGCCCTGTGGCTCCTTCCACCACAAATTTGGCACCCTGGGCTCCCGGCCTGGGCAGTTCGACCGACCTGCTGGAGTGGCCTGTGACACCTCACGCAGGATTGTGGTGGCTGACAAGGACAATCATCGTATCCAGATCTTCACCTTCGAGGGCCAATTCCTCCTCAAGTTTGGTGAGAAAGGAACCAAAAATGGGCAGTTCAACTACCCTTGGGATGTGGCAGTGAATTCTGAGGGCAAGATCCTGGTCTCAGACACTCGGAACCACCGGATCCAGCTGTTTGGACCTGACGGGGTCTTCCTGAATAAGTATGGTTTCGAAGGGGCCCTCTGGAAGCACTTTGACTCCCCAAGGGGTGTGGCCTTCAACCACGAGGGTCACTTAGTGGTCACCGACTTCAACAACCACCGCCTTCTGGTCATTCACCCCGACTGCCAATCAGCACGCTTTCTGGGCTCCGAGGGCACCAGCAGTGGTCAGTTCCTGCGCCCACAAGGCGTGGCAGTGGATCAGGAAGGGCGCATCATCGTGGCTGATTCCAGGAACCACCGGGTACAAATGTTTGAGGCCAACGGCAGCTTCCTGTGCAAGTTTGGTGCTCAGGGCAGTGGCTTTGGGCAGATGGACCGCCCCTCAGGCATCGCTATCACCCCCGATGGAATGATCGTTGTGGTGGACTTCGGCAACAATCGAATCCTCATCTTCTAATTGCATCTACTGGGTTTCTGTGTTTGGGGTGTGCGTGTGTGCGTCTCTCTCTGTTTGAATTTCAAAGAAGAAGCAGTCTCAGGGAAATTTGTTTTTGTTTTAATTTTAAAGAGAACAAGAAAAGTACAACATTGCTTAAGTCCTACCTCATCTTTATTTTTTTACAGATGAATGTACTTATCTTTTGTGCAGGGATTGAGCCTGTGAAGTGATAATTTCTATCTACCTCATAAATCTTCACATTTCCTCCTCCAACAGGCCGTCTTCCCTCCCCCAGGGAGCTCTCATTCCCTCTTCCCTGGTGTGGGGCGTGATATGCACAAGCCTAGCATCTCTGTGGCTGGGAGGGCACTCGTGTGTGTGCTGGGGCGGGTGCTCTAGCTGGAGCTAGGGAAACACAACAGGCGGAAAACAACAAAGCTATAGAAACGCGGGGAGAATAGGATTTAAAATTCATAATGGTAGAGTATTTGTCTTCTTGAGAATAATGCTATGTTGGGGTTAGATTGTGTTGTGTGTTTGATCTTTTTTTGGATTTTTTTTTTTTTTTTTTATGCTGCAACAGAGGAGTTTTCCTTTGTTCTCTTTTATTACCTCAGTGTGTCTCCCATTTTCAGCATCTCTCATTCCTAGGAGGTATTCCTGTGGCTTGCTAGCCAAGAAAAGCAGACCATTCATGTTTTAGGGTGTCTTGTCTTTGTCTTTTAAGTAGGAGGTGTGTGTGTATGTGTGTACTTTAAAGCCATCTTGCACCCAAGTAATAAAGCTAAAAATGACACACCACATCCTAGGGAACCTGTTCTGTTTGCATTTTGATTTCTAAAAAAACAGATGTAGCTCAGGATTCTTAATTAAAAGTATTCACAGAAGTTGAGTATTTTGTTGTTGGTTATAAAGCATTGTTAAGTGGAAGGAAGAAGAGAATGAACCTCATTTTCAGAAGGTTTTCAGGCGTGGACTGCCGTGCTGAGAGAGGAAGTGAGGGCGCTAGGGAGGCAAGGCACCCCCAAACTAGGGATTGTTCTACAGGGGCGGGGCTGGCCCCTGACCACAGAGTGAATGTTCTGTAATTCTAGGAGTTTATTTTCCTAAGAAATATAGGCAGAGGAATAAACTTTTATTTTAAAAGCACAATTTTTTCCTGCTTTGGAAATTCAGGGAAATACAATGTTTGAACCTCAAATTAATGGGCGCATCCCGTTTTCAAACCCTCTTCCAGGTTACTTTTACAGGATTGTTTCTTGTAGGAAGGACCTCAGGGCTGAGGTTAATTTTTTCCCCCAAGGCCTTTGAATGTAAAGGATTTGTAAACCAAATCACCCCAACCTGGTATGTAGGATATAGTACCTTTTTGAAACCTGTAACTTGGTACCAAAGAATGAATATGTGTAAGCCAGACTCACTGCAGGATGGGGGTGGCATGTATGTCACTTTACAGGATTGGTTTTTTGGTGAGCTGGATTTGGGTACAAAACTTTATGCTTTTAGGTATTGTTTGCCTTTCAGTTGGAAAGCAAGTGTAGCTAAGTCCCTGCTTTTTACAACCCAAGTGGATCCCTTCATTCATTCCTTCAGATACTGAAATAAATTCTGAGGTAGCTATCCTTAGGAGAAACAGGTGTTCTCAGACGTTAATTGCCTGTAAGGGCAACCTCTTAGCAACAGTCAGTATAGTGCATCAGATGCTGTTCCTGTGTGTTTAGGAGAGATTTCTGTGGCAAAAATGGGAGTTTTTAAACAACAGAGAAATTCACAAATGGAACAATTTACTTTCTTTAGTCCAGAAAAGGGGATTAATGTGACAATTCAGTCAAACTACTTTTCCTACCCACTTCTTTTAGATATTTAGCTTATCACTTGGAGAGCCCCTGTTTCACTGCTTTAATTCTAAGGTTTCTGAGTTGCCCAAATGAGGGGTGTTAATTCACCAATCAGAGATGCACAAAGTAGAAAGACCTTCCACTGTTCTTCCCACTGCTGGGTTCTTAATGGGGGAGTTATTAAGAAATCTTGGCTGGTACCTGGGCCTTTTCTTCTAGAATTTTTATAGTGAGTCTTCTCCTAATTCCTTTTCATTTACCTTTAATTTTGCCAGAGACCACTAAACATTTTTACTGTTTCTGTTGTTGTACTGTTGTTGTAACAGCTTGGAGATGGTCTTCCCTCCTCCCCTCAACTCTCTACCAGATCACCACTTAAACACCAAAGCCAACTGGCTTTTAATGCTGAAAATTTATTTTATTGAAGAAATGCATCTTGATAAAAATATTCTCAGAAACCTAAAATGATAATTATGAAAGTCATTTCAGTTAATCACTGGCTTTTAACTTTTAATCCTTTTTTATTTCCATGTTCATCTTCACTCTGTTTCCTTCCCAGCTTTCCTGTATGTGGGGGAGGTATTGAGTGCCGAGTGAGAAATTTAGTTGGTGAATAGCAGTTAGATGCAGATACTTGACATTTCATTGTGGATTTGGTTGTAAGGCCTGGGTTTCTGCTTCGTGGCTGAACTTGTTAGATCTTAATAGAGCAAGCCGCTTGTAGTCTTAGAGAAAGCAAGGCCCTCTACTGGGGTGGGTGTGCGGGCCATCGCATTCCTGTCCCTAGCTCTTCCATGCATGTTGGTCTGGCCCTTTACCTTTCTAAACTGAAAGTGGCATCTGCAAAATGTCACATTTGGGAAACTTTTGTTTATAAAACAGTTGGTCATTTGTGGCTGCTGGACATTGATTCCTGACCCTTTAGGGCTTGGTGCTAAGCACTTTGGAGAGTGTGTTTTGTATAATGTGGATTGTTCCAAATCAAGGAAAGATAATAAAAGCCAAAATTTGGTACTCCCTAGTGTGAGGCTGTCTAAAATGTGTGTGTTCTAATGCTTATCTCCTGCTCATAATAAGGTGATGCCAGAGTAGATAAGAGCTGGGTCAAAGAGGAGAGTCTTCAGTGGGCTGAACAATTAAGTCTTCGATGCAGAGAGGGAGAATAAAATGTCTCAAAGGAGTAAGTGTTAATTAGATGATGGTCCCCAAATTCAGGTGGCAGGAGTAGGGATGGTAGGATGTGAGGTCAACTTACATTTGGAGGTACCCATTGTTGTGTATATAGACTATATATAGGTTTCAATGTTGATGTTAATGTTTAATGGAAATCTCAATAGCCCCATAGGTGTTGGCACTGGTTAGCATTTCAAAACTGCAATCTGTAAATAAAAGTAGTCATTTTCTGTCAGTTGGGTCACGAAAAACAATCCTGTCTCAGAACCTGTGTTCTGTTGTGGCTGGCAGGTCGCACTCAGTTGGCTGGGCCCAGTGGCCTTGGCCGTACCTCAAGTGCACTAAGTCCTTAGTCAGTGCCCTTTTAAGTTTGACTTACTTAGGGAGACACACGAGTACCATGAACAGAACCTAAATTAATTTTTGGGCCAAAGAAGTTGCCAGAATCAAGGCACTTTGTTACCAAGTTGGAAGAGAATAGCTTGAAACCAGCTCAGCCTGTTTTTTACTCTAGTTAAGCCAAAGCTTATTTCAGGAGGGATGTCTTTTAGGCTTGAAGCAGGAGAGTACTATTTGTATTATGTGTTGTCTTCTTATTTGGAAGATTCTAAGATTGCTGTATTCTGGTAGGTAGTAAAAGATATGCCAAAGTTTTAGGCTTGTTTTTTCTGTTTAGAAAATTCAGTGGTGCCAAAAAATATTTATGGTGTTTATTAAGAAGATCTCTCACTGAGTTTCCAACAGTCTGGGGCTGTATAAAAGTCCAACTCTGTGCTTGCACGTGATAGTTGTCTAGGGCTGGGGAGGCGCCTCATCAGGCCCTGCAGCTTTCTCAGGCTTCCTGTGGGCCTCGGGATACAGGACACAGCATACAGGACCTCTCATGTGTCCTGGGGAACAGGACATACTATACTGACTGCTCTTTGTTCCACTTCTACCTCACTTTCAGTGAAAGTTTCATCTACCTCATGTTAGTATCCGAAGGGTCTCAAAGAGAATAGTGTTAATCCAGTGGGAAGTGGGAAGCTACCTTTAGAACAAGTATTTTCATAAATCTGGAACTATTTCTCCAAGAAGAAATGTTGGACCTTTATAAAAATGTGAGGTAAATGTAGTCATAAATTCAAGTAGTTCCTAAATAACCTCCCCTGGCTTTTCAAAAGAATGACGCATGCCTTCCATGTTGTTCAGTGTTAAAAAGACTACTGGGTAATCTGACCAAATTGCAGGATTTACTGACAAAAGACCTTTAGGTCTCTCTTCAAGAGAAAAATGTTTTATGTTTTTGAATGTCTACAGATAGACCCTTTTAGGTGAGATTCTAATGTCCGGGTTGTAAACATCAGATATTTGAAGGGAATAAGAATTCTTTTGACTTTGTGATTGTATCTCTAGCTTCTGGACCCAGCAGGAGGATGCTTGTCACCATGGTGTTGCAGCACTCGCTGTCCCTACTGAGCAGTGACTGGAGAAGTGTATTGGTGTTTCATTATGTGTTTAATTTTTTCTACCAAAGGTAACATGTTGACGGGTTGCTTTCTTTTCTGTCTTGTGTCTGCCTCTGTCCTGTTTGTCTTGTCTGTCTCTATTTCTCTGTCTCTCTGTCTGTCTCTGTCACTGTCCTTGTTAAATACTTGATAAATTTGAGAAGCACATTATCAGGATATATACTGTATTGACCCTCTACCTCTCTTCTTCTATGGTTAATATTTTGGTTTGACTGGAAGAGGGAATCCTAAGACCACTCTTAGTAAATCGTGAGTTGGGTTTATAAGTGTCACGGTGAAGAAATACCTCAACAATGTCTATTTTTAAAACTGATCTTACGGGTTAACAAGCCAGCCTGGTGGGATGTTTTCCATCATCATTTAACCAGTAATGGTTCTAAAAGTTTTGTGTATCCGCATGGTCTTAGACCTCATTTTAATGATTGTATTAACTTTCGAGCTCAGGTAGTATTTTTCCTAAGGCTATCTCAGAGCACACTGGCTGAGTGTTGGCGTGTGT